CTCTCTCGGCCTTCCATCTCACTCTCTCGGCCTTCCATCTCACTCTCTCGGCCTTCCGTAAAGCCACTAAAACCTGGCTGTTCCGGCAGGCCTGGGGCTGTTGACCCCAAACACGGTCCAGCCCCACTTAGAACGGAGTGCATGGTGGGTTTTAAATCTATGTTTTTTAAATCTATCTTTTCTTTTCTTCTTTTCTTTTTTGATTTACGTTGTATTGTAAGCCGCCCGGAGTCCTACGGGATTGGGCGGCATACAAATGTTATTAAACTTTGAAACTTTGAATAATTTCCCCTGATACCAGTATTTTGATTGGAGAGAAAAAGAGGGCACAGCAAAAATGCCTTTAACTTAAATTTAAAAAACTTGCTGTGATATAACTTGAGTCTGGAACCCAGTTTTATTTGCTTTTTTAATTTCAATTTTTAGTGGCTTCTTTTTGGTACACCTTTGCTACAAGTGATATGGGGGATCCACAGTTTGTCCATGATTTATTGAAGCAGAAGAAAACAAAGTCTCTCAGTTTTAGTTTTCCTTCTCTCACTTCACCAAAGCAATATATATGTTTTCATTGCATCATCATTGATCCCCCAAATAAAAACCAATTTTTGGAAATGGGGTTGACTTTTAGTTATTCTCCAGATTGACTACAGGAGGACTATGTTACCTAAACAACACAATCTGATGCTATTCAAACTATGCTCCTTTATAATTAGATGTGATGCTATACCCTGGAGAGCTAGTTTAGGGTAAGTGATCAAGCCATAAGTTTGAAACTGGAGACTGCGAGTTCTACTCTTCCCTTAACTACAGTCTCTCTCAGCTCCAGGCCAGTCATTCTCTCTTAGCCCTAGGAAGCAGGTAATGGCAAACCACTTCTGATATCTCTGGTGTTGTTCCCGGGTCAGGTACCTGCATTCTGTATCTGTGCATCTGAAGAATTTTGCATTTATATCATGAAATTCATAATCTAATTTTCAGCTAGTTTTTCTAACAAACAATATAATTTTGAATGTTATTTCTAACTTATTGGATATTCCGCCCCAATAGTTTTCTTCTGCAAATTTGATAAATATTCCTTATTCCTGTTCACCCAAGTGATTAATAAAAATGTCATTTGAACCTTATGCCTGAAACAGTTCATGGAAGGTAAATAACTCACGTTGCCTCTTGGTTTCACGATGTTGCCAGGCATAAAAATTGAGCAGTTCCTTCCGTGCTCTCTTGCGTTTCTCTCTTTCTAGGGCCCGCAAATTGGCTGCTTCTGTCCATGGAAGACCAGGCTTTCGGCCCTTCCTTGTCACTTTCACCCACCCTTCCTTGTCAGGAATACCTTCTTCCTTTTCAGCCTTGGCTTCTTCCTATTCCAGGAATGTGAAGGGAAAAAATCTTTTTGTATGAAAATAGTTTGATGTCAGACTTGCTTTCAAGAAGTGCTTACAGTCCAGAAGGGCATTCTTAACTTGAAGAAATCCCAGTTTTGTGCAAAGTGAGCTTTCTTAGAATAGCAGTTTTGTTCTCAGGAAATATGGATAATGTAATTGTCCACATAATCACTTTTGAGATATGTGATACATGTTGGGGAGAAAATGCTCTGGCCAAGTTCAGTATGGTGGACACATGTGGTACAACAAACATAGATAATGCATTGGAAATACTATAATTTTTGGATTGAAAACATATTAACACTTTACATCCCACTTTGCTTTTCTCTTCTGCCTCTTCTCAAATATACTTTGTGAGATAATAGCAACAGCAATAGCACTTAGATATATATATATATATATCACTTCACAGCCCTCTCTAAGCGATTTACAGACTCTGGGTCCCCATTTTACCAACCTCGGAAGGATGGAAGGCTGAGTCAACCTTGAGCCTGGTGAGATTCGATCTGCCAAACTGCTGGCAACTGGTGATAAGCAGAAGTAGCCTACAGTACTGCACTCTAACCACTGCGCCACTGTAGCTCTGTAATAATATGCTCAGACAAATAATGGCTAGTCCAAGATCACTCAATGAGCTTTCTGGCTGAGAGGAATTAAACTCCAGTTTCCCAGGCCCCACCTAAACATTTTAATCACTGCACCATGCCAACCAATACTAATCCTAAGCCACTCCAGAGGTGTTGGATCAAGGAAAGACTCTGAAGACAGGCAGTATTTCCCTACAATTATGTCCTTCATTGGTTTACCTTTGCAACCTTTTGATCATAATTTTTCATGAAAAAGTCAACTTCTGTCTTCAGCTCAGCAGGATCCACAATTGAGGCTGCATATCTAGCAATCCATTCTGAAAGAGTGAAAATAAAATAATCAACAACTCTGCAGTGCAATTCTCAAGATATGAAAAGAGGGAGAAATCATCTTGAGTATCTGGAAGTTGCTCTTCATATATTCTGAACCAGATTCAGTGTTGTAGGACAAACCGACCTATATCTAAGCACAAAAGTTTACATTTTATGGTATTATTTTACATCATCATCATCATCATCATCATCATCATCATCATCATCATCACAACTGTATCACAGCGGCCAATTGTTTCGCCGGATTTGGCATTGATTACTAGTCGGACCCCATTATTGTTGTTGTTGTTGTTATACAATTGTATCACAGCGGCCAGTTGTTTCGCCGGATTTGGCATTGATTACTAGTTGGGCCCCACCCAGGGGCTTAGCACGTCGTAACATATTTTCGTAATATGCGTGCAGATCCAAGCAGTGCGGCTTTTTGCATTTGACTGATGGTGGTTTTTGTCAATTTTTAACTGCTTTAAATGTAATTCCAGTGCTTTTGGAATAGCACCCAGTGTTCCAATTACCACTGGAATTACCACTGCTAGTTTGTGCCATAGTTGTTGAATTTTAATTTTTAAGTCCTGGTATTTTGCAATTTTTTCATGTTCCTTCTCGGCGACCCTGCTATCACCTGGTATTGCGATATCAATGATTGTGACCTTATTTTTCTCAACCAGTGTGATGTCTGGTGTATTATGCGCCAGTATTTTGTCCGTTTGTATACGGAAATCCCACAAGATCTTGACCATCTGATTTTCGGTGACTTTTTCAGGCTGATGTTCCCACCAATTTGTTGCTGTTTTAATATTATAATTTTTGCACAAATTCCAATGAATCATTTGTGCTACTGAATTGTGCCGCAATTTATAATCAGTCTGTGTGATTTTTTTACAGCAGCTGAGTATGTGATCAACAGTTTCATCAGCTTCTTTGCAAAGTCTGCATTTGGCATCATCAGAGGATTTTTCGATTTTGGCCTTAATGGCATTTGTGCGGATAGCTTGTTCTTGGGCAGCCAGGATTAGCGACTCTGTTTCTTTCTTTAATGTACCTGTTGTTAACCATAACCAAGTTTGCTCATTGTCCACTTTATCTTTTATTTTTTCCAGAAATTGGCCATGCAGTGCTTTATTCTGCCAACTCTCCATTCTTGATTTTATCACATCTTTTCTGTATTCTTGTTTTGTCTGTTGGGCCTTCAGTAGATTTTTCTTCTTTACTTCGATTAATAGATGTTCTTGACTTTCTTTTAAATAATCAGCCAGTGCATGTTTTTCTTCTTCAGTTGTTGTTGTTGTTGTTGTTATGTCAAGCCAACCAACAATATAAATGCATGCATACACCCAATATGACAGCCACTGGGGATTTAGTGCTGTTAGGCTGGATTGCCATTAGGGAGACCCAGTGTTGTGGCTCATCGACTGACAGCGGAGATGGCAGTCTAGTCAAATGAGTTAGAGGAGATGGAGGGGGTGACTGGGTTACCAGCGGAAGCCTCTGAGGAGCAGGAGGTCTATTCTCTGAGATGTCCAACAAACAGAAAACAAACTTTTATATTGTAATAAACTCAATTTAAGAGCAAAAGGATCTAATTCACTAATTCACCTTACGCTATTTATCAGAATATGAAAATAATTAAGTGTTAATGGGTCACTACTTGCTTTAGCAGCAATTCTGGCAGAAATATCAAGCTTGAAGCTTCAACTAGCAGGATCTAAGGAGCGCTACAAATGGTTGTGTAATTCTATTAATTGCACATAATTTTTTCAATCTCTTGAAATTATCAAGTTATCATTTGATTTTTTTGAATTTCTAACAAATGCACCAATAAAATTAAGGCCCAGCAGTCCATTTAACATCTAAATACACTGTTAATTAAGTTTTATGTGCTTCAAAATTTTATAGAATGCTTTATCAAAGATGTCTATTCCCACTTTTTAAAAACGAATTTAGAACTTCCTATTCATGTTTAACTACAAGTTTCCATTGCTATGTGGAACACACACTAGCTTTCATAAATCCAAAATATGCATTATTTATATTAACATAGAAGTTGATATTTTGCGTTTCAAGATATTGTGTTCTAATTTATTCCTTTTTTTCTTGACTGGTAAATATTTATTTATGCAATATATAGAATATCACAATCTATTCTGATTCAGCATGCTTACAAGTATAACAGTAAATTACTATAAAAACAAACATCCAGAAAAAAATAATCATTTATGAAATATATAGAATATCCTAATCTGTTATGATTCAGGATGCCTTACAAGTATAACAGTGAAATACTATAAAATTGAGAAACCAAAGAGCCAGAAAAAATAATCAGTTACACTAAATCAGAGCATGAAGATAAAGTCAAGACTGAAGGGCTTATTTAAACCCTTGATTTCCAGTTCTGTCTAATATTTCTCAGGGACTACTGAGTACAGCCCCAAATGTAGACTTCTGTATGGAAAAGGAAAATGTGTAGCATTTGTGCTTAACTTACTGTGAATGCCAGTTTGCACAGGATGGCTGTCTGAAGATATTATCAGGGGTCCTTGTAGTGATTTGGCAGCCTGTACTCCAGCAGGTCTTCTGAATACCACATAAGCTACTTGGAATCCCTGTGAAGCAAGAAGCATTTTGTTTCAGGTTTCACTTACATATGTCCTAAAAAATAAGGGCAACCATAGAGATAGTTGTTCAGCCTCATCCTGGCTGTTCATATGCCATTATGATTTTCTCACCATTGCCATGTATCTAAAATACAAGTCAGCCCCTGGAATCATTTTCTATTTTGCTGGGATTACTTGTAGGTTGTACTGTCACATATAGGTCTGGAAATATTTATGAATCCTGGTCTAATCTAGAGCCCACAGAATAAACTTAAGCTAAATATTATATAATAAAATATTGCACACTAGTTGCTAAAACAAAAATTGCTTCTTAAACAAGGGTCTTGACTCTCCCTCCTTTAAAGTATCAAGAAATCAGCCTGCAAAAATTACCTAGGATAATCTGGATTATAAAACGAGCAGAGGCAAACTGAGGCAAGCTAGAAAGGGACCCAACACCATTCAGCCAAAAACTACCACAACAGCACATAGTAAATTTGTTAGTCTAAAAGGTCTTGATGCACATCATAAACACTACTTGTTTGTTTCATTAAGGAATCAAGAACAATGTGAGGAATAAGGCAATACTTGAGTATCATAATGACACATTTGCTTTTTCAAAAGTGCTCATTTGTCTTTCTTAAAAAGGTAATGCCATAGCTCCCTTCATCATGCTATTCTCCTCCACATTCCCAATTTACCAAGAGTATCTTGTTATTGAAGAACTTGGTCCTGGATATTTCTGTCCCATCTCCCGGCTTTGGCCTTTCACACATCTCCACAGATTGTATGGGGCAAAAGGTGGAGAACAGCCTTGATAAACATTCCTAAAAGAAAAGGAAAAAAGGTTTCAGCACAATTCACGGCATAATTAGAGAGTGGACATTTCTATAAGATGAAAGGGTTTTTTCTATTTTGCCCAAAATTTTCACCTATCTATAGTAGGCAGGTTACTATTCACAACTTTCTTCTCTTCAATCAGCGTTCATAGCTTGAGGACCAAGTTATGAACATAGCCTTTGAAAACCTTTGACATTGGTTCCAGAATCCCTCTAAAAGTTTCCATGGTTATCTAATTTTTAATGTGAGAGAAGTGGGAAATTATAAAATAAATGGCTAGATATCATATAACATATATTTCATTTTATTTATCCTGTTATCCTGCTCACTACTTTTTATGCCTTAATTTTTGGACTCCAGGAACCAACACGTCATTCAAAAAGTCAGCAAGGCCCCCTGAAAACTGTGGATACTTTCTTAAGAACTCTGAAGAATTCTGTACCTTTCTTTCGGAGTTTTGGTGTGCTGCACCTTTCTTTTGGCAGTGAGTCCTGATCACAATTTTGAGATAGAATTAACTCGGTCCTTCATGTGGATGGGAGAGGCAGGGCAGAGAGAAAAAGGCCTATGTATTTCTTTAACTATACTACTTCTTTATTTGCTCAACCTTTTAAAAAATTAAACTTTCTCTTAGCAAAGCTTTCTTCATATTCAAGATGGCCATTCATTCCAACCAGCACTGCAAATATCTACAATCAGCTGTTCCATACCTCTTCTCAATATTAATATCTGAACTGCGGAAGCTGAAAGCCCACACATCTCGTGGGGCACCAAGTTAGAGGGACCAAATTAGGCAGAAGTTCAGATAGACTAAAACAAGATCAATTAACAGAATGAAAAAGAAAACATATTGTTGTCAGAAGATCTGTATTCTAAGCAGAATGCTATTCATAAAAGTCCAATGTACACTATATTGCCAAAAGTATTCGCTCACACATCCAAACAATTAAATGCAGTTGTGAGCGAATACTTTTGGCAACATAGTGTATATTATCTTCTCAAAGTTACCTTGTTTATTTGTAATATCTCTGTTCTGAATGTCCAAATCTCTGTAGTTTATGTAATCCTCCTCTCCTTACCCAAATAAACTCACCTCTGTACAATATGGAGGGATGTTTAAGACAAAAAGTGTTCGGTTTTGAGGCCTCTTGGGATCTCTGCCCTCTCTGACTTTGTGTTCTTTCACATAGAGATAATGAGGTGACTGGTGCTTCTCAGAAAACTTGACTGGAATAGCTAAAAAGGAAGAAAATCATTTTCTAATCAAGTAACTTCAGGGAAGAAAAACTAATATTGGTGAATGTTTCATAAATGAAAAAAACCATCATTGCAGGGGCTATCACAATTATTTCAATGAATAAATAGAATACTTTGCCCTTTGATTGGGTTACAATTTCTCTGCAACAGGTAACAATTCTGAAAGACAATCTAAGGCAACTTTTCCCAACCCGATGCCTTTCATACTGTTGAATTAGAGTCCTTGTCATCTCCAGGAAGAGAGCAGCATCTCACCAGTTTATTTACTGTAAAAACTGTACACTGCTGAATGACTAAAGAGCCATGGTGGGGCAGTGGTTAGAATGCAGTATTGCAGGTTGACTCTACCTACTGCCAGGAGCTTGCTCGTGACTGGCTCAAGATTGACTCAGCCTTCCATTCTTCCAAGGTAAGTAAAGTGAAGATCCAGATTGTTGGGGGCAATAGGTAAGTAATAAATAAAACACTTAGAAAGTGTTGTAAAGCACTATGAAGTGGCATAAAAGTCTTAAGTATTATTGCTATATGCTTGAAGCCAAGCTGGTAGACATGTGAAGAAGGAAATGTTTTATTACTATGTCTGTATGTGACTGGACAAGGTAGGATGAGTACAGGCTTATTTACTTATTTTTTGTGCATGCAATATTTATTTTTGCATTTTACTGTTTGTTTCCTAATTCCTTTTAAGAGGATTGGACTGATTAAACAAACATGCAATCAGATAAAGAGACAGGAGCTGCCCCTTAACTACTGTAATAACACCCTTTTTTTGAGAAATATTTTATAAAAAATTTACTGACTCTTGATTAGATTGGGGGAAAAACTTCCTGAAGCAAGAAAAACCCAGGTAGAGTTTTCTTTCCACATAGAGAACATTAAAATTCAGAAATTAAAATGCACGTAAGTGTATATTTACGATTTGTCTCCATTTTTACAGATATATCTGCTGCATCTGTCCACCTTAACCTTCATGGACTCTCGGCAATTGTAAACTACCGTATTTTTGCTGAACTGGAGTGGGGAATAGGTATTGCATGGCTCTCTAATATTTCCTTTCCACTTTACCTCTATTTTGGACAAACAAATATTTAAACAGAACCACCACAAATTCATAACAAAAATGTTTAATTGAGCAGAACCTTTTAATTTATGCATCAAGAATGATTATGAGTATATTAGAAGTTTAGTAGTTGGAAACATGAATGCACAGGATCTCATATTGTTGATTGAGAACCTGTATAAATTGCAGTGAACACATATGCTATATGAGGCAAAAATATACATCTGAACATTGATTAAAGATCACTGCTTTGTATAGGAAACAGGAGTAAACATTATTAATAGTTATTACATAACAGTTATTAATAAATAGTGAAAAACTAGAGTAAGTAGATGAATTTAGGTAAATTTGACAAAATGTTTACTAAAAGCAGGAAAATACAAAAGCATTCAGACACACAAACACTGAAGAAAATTGGTAGACAATAAGTGCCTTTTGCCAAGAATGAATGTGTTTTTTTTAAAAAAAAATGAGGTGACTATGGCTATGTATAAAAGTAAGTTTCTGGCAATTTTGTTAGATTTATGTCAAAACTGAGTATGTCAAGAGAAATGTGAAAATAAGACTGAATGAAGTGAGAATGGGATACTAAGAAATATGTATGGTTAAAACAAGAATAGATGAAGTAAAACTTGGGTATTGAATGAACATCAATATAAAAGTGAGTGACTCATGAGAAAAGTATGTTGAAGTGGTTTGATCTTACAGAGAAAATGAAGAAAACTGAATTCTGAAACAAATGTAGGAATGAGCAATGGCTAGGGGGAGGAAGAGAACAAGAACACTGTGATAGACAGAATTGAAATTGAAATTCAAAACAAGACAGGTAAAAGAGAATGTACGATAGTGTTTGGTGGAAACAGGAAGAATTGCAAGGATAAAAAGGCACAGAGAGCAGCATCTGACCTCACAATGGTGTTGTGGGGAAAATTGGAGGAAGGATTATTATATGTTTATTACCTCGAGTTATTTATAAAAAGAAAGGTGGTATAACACAAACAAACATTGTGCTTTTGCACCAAACCAGGTATTTGTGCAACTAGGTAGTTCATGTGAAAAAAGGGGATGGGATTTGCACCACACTATTCCATTGCTTTGGCTAATCTGAACCCTTCTGCCTTCCTTGCAGATGTTGCTAGACTTAGTTATCTTTTTTGGAAATCATGCTTCATTTTATTGGTTTATTATTCCTTACACCTTTTTGCTCTTTATATAATGTTGCAAAGTAGAAGCATGTTCTTTCGTATATGCACGCATTTACAGAATACTCGGATCACAAGTGGAATCAAAATTAATTAATTCCCCATCTAAGCTACCTCGCAGAAAGGCCAATTTATTTAATCACTGCCTCCATTATCTCCTCTTGCAGAAAACCAGTTTCCAAATACAAGCAGAAGCGCAACACTCTATTGACTTGTACGCAGGCCTTTTGTGTCCGTGTATGCATTATATGTTTGCCCCCATTAGGGAAAGAAACAAAAGGATGCGTATCAGCACACGGCCAAAACCAGGTCGGAGGCCTCAAGCAACCGAGAGAGCAGCTTCAGGATTAAACAGAGGTTCCTTCTTCGTCTCTCAGCCCTGTTCCCTACTCACCGGTGTATCCCAGGGGGGCGACAACTTCTCCATTTTTGACACACTTCGAGCCGGAGGCCGCCATTTTGCCTCGGAGGAAATGGCGTCATCTTTCCGCAACCCTTGAGCATCGCGAGGTTTTGGGGGACCAATCGCTTTCCCGGGAAAATCGAAGGGAGGCTTCGTCCCTGCCACCTGCGCAGCCTTGGGGCGGATTTGTTTGTGAAGCGCGACTGTTTGCCCGGAACGAAATCCCACAGCCCAGAAGGGGCTTTGTTTCCCGAGACCCAGGCCTACGCGGGTGCCTGAACTAGGTTAGCCATGGGCCGCCCTGCTGCCTTTTTTTTAGAAGGTTTTAGAGCAGGGGTCTGCACACACTGGCAACTTTAAGACTTGTGGACTTCAACTCCCAGAATTCCTCAGCCAACCACAAGTCCACAAGTCTTAAAGTTGCAGAGCTGTTTTAGAGATAGAGGCGATAAATGACACGAGCCCCCCTTTTTCAAAGCCTATTTTTACATTCACGAAATGTTCCTATTCGGCGAGGAAAGGGAAGATTGTGGAAACGGAAGATTCGGAGGCGAAAATCACAAAGGAGACGAGTTTCCAGGGTTAATTTTGGAGCTTAAAACCTCTAGAGAGGCGCCCAGCGTTACCTATTTTTTTTAAAAGCATCGTAGAAAGCCCTCGGTGTGTGAGAGTGAGAAGCGTCCAGAGAGAATTCCTTCGGTTTGATAGGATGGGGAATATCGGCATGTGGAAGGTTTTCCTTTCAAGATGAGGAAAATTTCTGGTGACTTCCCAATAGAAAAGCGATTCCATGTTGCTATTTTTTTTCGGCTTACTTCCCGATATATTCAGGAATCATAGGATTTCTGATAGTAGTATATAGTCTTTATTGCCATTGTACATCATGTATACAAAGGAATTGGTTATTGATGACTTATCCCTATTAAGTTGTCATAGTTGGCTTGGGGCCTCCAGCTAGTTGGGGTCAAAGTGTGCCAGTATCCTCAGTTTAAATATAATAAAGTTTGCATTGTAATGGAATTGTAAGGTCATTTTAAATGTAAAGTTAAACATCATAGATTATGGGTATTATAGGTAGTTGTTTTAATCACCATTCTGATTTCTCAAACAACTTCCATCAAAATCTTCCTGAGTATGCAAAGCAGTATCTAAGGGTGAAGTTGATCTGCAAATTTAGAGTAAAAATCCTCAGAGTTCCTCGTCCATAGGAGAGTAATGAACAAGCCCATTTCCTTAAGTAGACTTATGCTATCAGCTGTTGTTTAGAATCACTCCCCTTATTAAACATTACAAACTTTGTTTTGTATGTTTAAAAGAAAAGAATGTAGAGTATTCCCTGTATAACAAATACAGTATTTATTCAGAAACACATTACATCATGTCCTCAGGTTAACCTCTGTAAGCAACCCCACTGCTGTTAATGAAGGACAGACACAATAGCATTTCTGCACAAAAAATACCAGTTTGTTCAAAAGTACATTTCTCCAGTAAGAGTAAATACGATTTTTCCAAAATTAATAATTGAGATTATCAAATTCCATAGGGAATAATGATTCATATCCTGAAGTGATATAATTTGACTGCCATGTCCTGTGGGATTAAACTCAGATACTATACAGAATGAAGAGCAACTACTGAGCATCAGGCTTACAATGGAATAAGCTGTTACTAGAGGATTTTAGCACACATGAAAATGTTTAAATCCTGCAGTTAAGAGAACAAAAATCCAATGTCCAAGGAGTTATCCAGTGCTATTTCACTTTGTTATCATGGTACTTAAAAAAAGATTTTTAAAAAAATCTCTAGCAAAAATTTGTATATCAGGTAAAATTGCACAAATACATCTTAGTTTTAGATAACTTCTTTCACTGCTCACCTTTCTCTATGTCAAATAATTCATCTAAGGTGCCCTTACCACTTTTTCATAAAAATAGTGCTACATGGCAGCAGCAAAATCTTATCCAGAGAAAAGGACTTCGGGATACATTTTATACAAATAACTCCTGAAGAACAAATTGGGGGCTGTTTTCTATCGATATGTCAAGTAATAGAATAACAGAGTTGGAAGTGACCCTGGAGGTCTTCTACTCCAACCCCCTACTCAAGCAGGAGAGTAGTCCTTGACTTATAACAGTTCATTTAGTGACTATGAACTTACAATGGCATTTTAAAGTGACTTATGACCATTTTTCACATTTACAACCATTCCAGCATCTGCATGATCACGTGATCCAAATCCAGATACTTGAGACAGCTGGAGTGTCCTGGTTGGAATGTGATCCCATTTTGCAGCCTTCTGGCAAGCAAAGTCAGTGGGAAGCCAGATTCACTTAAATAACCATGTTAGTAACTTAATAGCTGCAGTGATTCACATAACTGGCACAAAAGATTGTAAAATGGGGCAAAACTCACTTAACAAATGTCTTACTTGGCAACAGAAATGTTGGGCTCAATTGTGGTCGTAAGTCAAGGACTACCTGTGCCATTTCAAACAAATGGTCCAATCTCTTCTTAAAAACCTACAATGTGGAAGCACCCACAAATTCTCAAGTTTCACTGATTGTTCTGTCAGGAAATTTCTTAGTTCTAGATTGATTCTTTCCTTGATTAGTTATCACCCATTATTTCTTATTCTGCCTTCAGGTGCTTTGGAGAATAAGCTGATCCCTCTTTTCTTAGTGGTAGCCTCTTAGATACTGGAAGACTGCTTTATTTCAACCCCTAGTCCTTCTTTTCATATTTGACTTAATCAATTGCTAAGTGATCAGCTGTTTTGCAGCCTGAGAGAATATTGCATTGAATTAGCTTATGGACAACTGTTTTAGAGCCAACATCTCAGAAAAAAATTAAATATAACAAAATAAAGGTCTGATTTGAATTCTATTGACATCAGGGCTAGAAGAGGCCTCTACTTGTGATTCTAAAGCACCATGTAAAAACAGTTTACGGTATCATTTTCTATCATGTGCTGTTTAATTGGGACATGCTCAATATTTTCCTCTGCAGTGTAGATCTTCATATCAAAAATTGGAAAATAATATAAATACTAGATAATGAAGCTAAGTACTTTACTGGCATTCAAACAAATCCATAGGAAAAGCACTTCTGTGTAACATCCTGAAGTACACAACAATATTCCTCCATCAACATATTAACAACATGAATACATGGCAATGAAAGTAGTGAAGAATATGTTATATACTTGTACATATTCCCACTCCTTCATAATCTCTTCCATTAGTTGCTGCATGAATATTTCCTTTGCTGCTTCCTTTTTACCAATTTTAGAGTAGCAGAAGAGCTATTATCAATGCCTGGGAGAACAGTATTATATCAAGTCTCTTCCACAGACACAGATCTATTGAAATGAATTGTTTATTAGTTGTGTAAAGCAAAAGGGTCACCTTTTTTACTAAAATAATGAAAGTCACAATAGATGCTTCTAACACCTTTAACTAGGTGTACTTTTAACTGGCTGGATACGGCAGTGGGGAGGCAGATGTAATAAAGGAAGAGTTATATGTTGATACAGATTTCAGTAGAGAAAGGGGAAATTATTCAATTAGAAATATCGGGACAAAAATTCCAACTATGAAAACAGAACAAACACATTTAGGGGAACACTACTGTACAGGAAAGGTAGCAACTGTAGAAAAACAAAGGTTTGAGTGCAGTCCGACACAACAATTGTGTTCCCATGTCTCCCAATTTTCCACACTCAGTTTACTAGTCCACTTTTGATTGCTACTTTTCAAAGTTTGATTTTGAACTCTGTAGGCTGCACAGTAGCAGAAGTCCCCGAGGATTTGAAGAGTGCCTTTAAGATGGTGTCAGGATCCACTTCAGCCGGGGGATTTGAAGATGTTCCTGTGCTTGTCCGACGTGGTTCAATTTCTTTCTTCACTGAAGGAGTGTCACTCAATCGACTAGGCAGAGTTACAAGAAATAATATTATATTTAGCCTCCTGACAGAATGTAGACTCAAGCAATAGTGTTTATTTTTTTATATAATGGAAAGAAAAATGGGGAACAAAATTAGAAATGCTAAAAACTCCAACACTGAGTGATAATCAGGAATGAAATGCTTGCTATCAATTAGATAAAAAATTAGAGAAAAATTAAAGAAAAGATGTGGAGATTCTAGAAAGATTGCAGAGAAGAGCAACAAAGATGATTAGGGGACTGGAGACTAAAACATATAGAGAATGGTTGCTGGAACACTGGGTATGTCTAGTTTAATGAAACGAAGGACTAGGGGAGACATGATAGCAGTGTTCCAATATCTCAGGGGTTGCCACAAAGAAGAGGAGATCAAATTATTCTCCAAAGCACCTGAGGGTAGGACAAGAAGCAATGGGTGGAAACTAATCAAGGAGAGAAGCAACTTAGAACTGAGGAGAAATTTCCTGACAGTTAGAACAATTAATCAGTGGAACCAATCAGACTTTATTTCCTGCATTAATAGGAGGACAATGACTACTAGGACTTAACCAGAGGTTGCTCTTTCTAAAAACTATTCCAGAGGATTTAATTGTCCATCCCTGATTTAGGTGGCTGATTTTTTAGTTTTACTTTCTTCTTGGTTGTTTTTTAATCTCAAGTTATTTTAAAACAATGTAATTTGGGATATGTTTATGAACAGAACCCTGAAGAGGAATGGTGCGGTGGCCTAGAGGTGGAGACCTCACCTCACAATCAGGAGGCTGTGAGTTCAATCCTAGGTAGAGGCAGATATTTCTCTCTCTGGGCACATTG